TTGGGATACCCCATTTTTCTTTCAACAAACCATGCAGCATCTAATTTCTACGAAATTAAAAGTTAAGGAACGAGTGTCTACAATGCATCAAAACACAAAGAAACAAAGTGATAAAACATGTAACATTATTCTTGTATTGTCAATAATTACCCAAACATAGCACCGGTACACAAGAAGATTTCCAAAAATACTATGACTTAACTGAGCGTATCTGTACTGTATCTGTAATGAAAAAATATTATGCTGCTTGTTATGTGTAAATGTTTTCAGAGTAACTCTACTGATTCGAAGTCATGAGTTTCATTATCAAATACGAAAGCAAAAATTTAAATACTGTGTTGATACGTCGTAAATTCATATTTTTCTGACTGATACCATTCATGATATTAGCTCCCACTGCCTCGTTCTACAGTCGTGCAGTTTAGATTTCATATTATTGATTTTTACTAATCTTAATTTCTTCCTTTCCACTCGGAGACCAAATGTATAGACGAGGTCATTGCTACTAAGGCTGTATACCGATGTTTGTTACTTCTTCAGGCTCAAAAGGCTCAAAATTGGTATGGAGGTAACTGACACCCTGGATTAACACATAGGCTACTTTTAACCCGAAAAAATGTAGTGTTCCTGTGGGATGAGCAAAGAAGTATCTGTTAAACCGCGGATAGCACTGCGGAGTGCGGCTAGCAATAATAACTTCACACATCTCACACACGTCTGATTCTAAACTAGACAGAACCTGTACTATGGTAAACATACTTACATATTTCTTAATACATACATAGTTATGGATACATTTTTTATTTACATTTAAATTCGTTTTCTATTTGTTTATCAATATGGTTTTACCCAAAAGATATGCTTTAAATTGAGTTTAAAAAAAAAACTATCATCGCCTTCAATGCTCCTGAATCATGCTCTATTATAATAGTTTTCTTCATCCATGGATTAACCACAATTAGAAAAAATATTCCACATATTTTCCTCAAATCAAAAGAAATCAATTATTAAAATCGGTTAATAAATGGGGAAGATATCGTGTAACATACAACAAAAAAACATCCTTCTTTTGAGGTCGGCTAAATAGCAGATACATAATTAGGCAGCTAATCTTTCGTATTCCTATTCCAGTCATAGTCTGTCAGTGGCCTCTTTTCCAGTTAAGAATCAGTTCTGTTCCGTTAGACGGAAGACAGCAAATTCTTGTGCATTTTCAATCATTTCATTATACACAGAACATGGTAATCTGTGTTGCAAAATTAGTAAATGTATATCATTTGTCGGTCTCGTGTTGTTTAGAGTTTCGTGTTTTAATGAATATTGATTCGTCATGCAAGACGCTTTATTGCTCAGCTAAATTTGACGTGTGAATATCTAACTTAAGTTTAATTACGAGTATATAGGTATCTTAAGCGTAAAGGCGCTTAGATTGCCTCGTTATGGTCATTTTATTAAAATATCTTATATTATCAAAATAGATTGAACTGTAGCAACAGTTTCCTGAATTTGTTAACGAAAACAGAATAAATAATGTTGGTTGATGATTAATAATTTAGACTTCATTTTTACTCACATTGTTTTATTAAAATATTATTAGTGTTATTCTCAGACTATTTTAAAAGTTTACTACAAAGTTAAAAAAAAAAACCATAATAAAAGTTTAGTCTCTAAGTATGAAGACTCTTCCAATAGACAAGAGCGAGCAATGATAAAACTTTGAACCGGTTGTGGCTATGATACTCCTCATTAATATGTAATACAGCGTGTTGAATATACATTATTACTCTTATATTATATATATAATATATATATATACATAATAAAGATTTTACTTTTTGTTTAACAAAATCAGTAAATTTTTGCAAGCAGTATACGATAAAGATCAAACCACCCGACTACAGACAGCTGGGAGATACCAATATTCTTTATTACATTGACAAATCAATAAAGTGTGCAGAAATGCGTACTACGCCACTCAAATTTTTTTTTATGGTATAAAGGGCAGCGGGGGCAAAGGGGGATAGTAAGCAACTGCCGCCGCCCATGGACACCTGCACATGCAGTCGATTTCAGTCTTTTGTAGAAAATAATATGTCCTATGGTCCTATAGCATGGGCATTTATTGAATCACTAGGAATTGTAGAATCACAGCAAGATAAAAGACACCCTAAAGACCGAAATGTCCGTGTGGTGATAGATTAAGAATACGGAGTGTCACCACCCCTATTTATCCCGTGGGTGTCATAACAGAAGTGCTGACTAAGGGAGCGAACTGCGTAGGACACTGCAAAGAGAAGGAAGACTTGAAACAAAACGATATACCAACCAACAATATCTGGCCAGCGAGGTATAGTAGGCTAAGACCTCCTTTTTAAGGAGAGGCCTATGTCCAGCAGCAGACTGTTGGAGGCTGTTGATAAATCGCTCAAATTTAGATACACTGATTCGGCATTCCTCTGGTTTTTATAAATTTGTTGGAACTATACATCAAGCAGGTTAAATTAGTTGTTTTCTAATGTCGATTTTCGGATTATGATGCTAAGAAGATTATAACATCTATTTACTCTCGCGCAATTAATAAATTATCTAACAACAGTCTAGTTCTGGACATAGGCATCTCCCAACATGTGTCATGGTGCACACCCTGGTGTACATAATTTGTGGTATTTTTTTTTAATACATTGCAGCCCCTGTTTTAAACTCTATAGAGAGTTTAAAAGTAAAAGCTATAGTATCAGGGAATCATTGTATGGATAGCGATTCATACAGTGATTGCCTGAATTAGATCGCAAATAGCTATAAATTCTTTGATTGTAGGTATATAATATTAGAATAAAAACGAGAAAAGGTATTAGCAAAGGTATTAAGTAGATTTAAGTAAAATATTGTATGCTATTGTTTTGTGTACAATAAACAGTACAACTATTTATGTAAGTATGTTATAAATTATGTCATTTTTGCCAGTTCGGTGAATGGTCAATTAGTTATGATATAACAGGATGCTGCTTGGATTTAAAAATAATATTTGATTTCATTTAGAGCTATTTTTAATGAATCTCAATAATTGTCACCAGATATTGTTATTGTGAAAATATGAATAAGGTTTTATTTTGGTGATCAATTACTATTTTTGGTAGCATCGTGTTTTTCTTTCATATGATATTTTACTATTTCTGGTGGTAAGTTAAATTTAAGCCTTAATAATATACTGTAGAATTGAAACAAGTAGTGCCATCTAGGAACACGTACAGAAACTGGTCCGTCTAGATATGTCCATGTATTGTAGGCTCACTGTTAAGAAAGGAAAGCGTCGTCCTATATTACCATTTAGTATGAAGGCTGATCAAAAGATGGCGTGCATATTGTATTGCATTATTCTAATGAATTTCTAACATATTCTGTAAAATTACCGTTCAATCTAGAGACGACTTGAAACTTTTATATTTGGCATCTCTACAATACCATTAATTTTTACAAATTTTAATGAAAAAAACTGAAGTTACTGTGCACTAGCTTTTATCCATAGCTCCGGCCGCCGCGTGTCGGTTATCGTTAAAAGTATCCGATGTCCTTCCTCAATAGTCAAAGTATCTCAATGCCAAATTACATTAAAATCGGTGCAGCGATTTAGCCGTACTTTTACGGCTTGACAGACAGATAGAGTTTCTTCATTTATTACTTACAATGATTGATAGGATCTAGATAAGTTTTAAATGTAGGGATGTGTATGTATATTAGTAAATACAATATTAATTTTGAAATCCCTCAAAACCCCAAAGAAAGTGATAGATAATCCTCAACCTTGCTATTCAATATTAATATAGATTCTTTATTAGTATAAGAGTTTCGTGTTAGTACTTTTTGTTAGCCTGCGCTCATTAATTTTCTTCTCCGTAGGCTATAATTCATTTGAAGTCAGACGAGAGATGCAACAACTTGCAATGTATGTAAAATTTTTAGAGGGAAAGGTCTGGTTCAAACTATGTGATGAGTTATATCGATTTTCTGTGCCCGTTAACTACCTTCGCAATCGAGCTCATTTGTTGTTTGTCGTACCATTATGTCGCACCGTGGCACGCGCTAAGTCACCCATACCGCGCACTCAACGTTGCGGCTCTCCTGCGTGCCAATCCCGATTTGTTTGCGGATGGATGGAAGAAGAATATGATGTTAGTATGCTTGCGATTCTGTGAGCAGAAGGGTGATTTTTAATTTATCTTTGTGTTCATTTGTGTTTTTTTTTTCTTTAATTATTGCAATTGGTAAAATCGTGATAATTAAAGTAAATAAATAAATAAGTGGACCTGAACTTGGCGAGGTAACTGTGTGAGAGATAGGGTAGGGTAAAGTAACTGTACCTGCCGTTAAATATTACACTCACATCACATCTTCACATCATCATCATCCACAAGAGCCTTTAAGAATCCACTGGTGGATATAGGCGTCTCCTTAAAAATCAGGTAATGTCTTCCACGATATGTGTTTTTTCCACCCTAAAATAACTGTGTTAATCCTCAGTGACGTCTGCTACGGAGTAGTAACATGGCTTTTTTTCATATATTTTTTTATCTTTAACGTAAAAAATATATATTGAACATATAAATTCATTTTCATAAAATTGTTGTTTTTATTATTAAATAATTTACAAACATTGAAAAATAAACTGTACAAAGTTCTACTTATCTCCTCCATGACAGTTTTTTATTATTATTATTCAAATGAAACATTCAATATTTTATTATTTTATCATTTAACAAAACTTTTTTACAACAGCGGCGCTTTTCAGTTGAATTTATTTAATGCTACTCGTATGTTGGAGTGTTTTAACTTATAACTGTTCGTAAAAAATAGCAATAACACATTATAGTTACAATCATTAGAATCCTCTTCTCGCCTCTTAAGTTGAAGGAGATACATTATTTGAAACTAACAAATTCTGAAACTTCACTTTAAAAAACATATTTAATTAGAAATTTTATCACATCTCTAGTCATAAGACGCTATGAGTTTCCAAACTGTGGTTGATACTCTGAAACATTATTCCTTTGACGGCTATTGGCCTCCATAGGTTTCGTAGGCTGTATAAGGGAAAAATCTGGTTTCTCCCCATTTGCCATCTTCGTTAGTTTTGAAGGAAGATACGTCATAAACATCAATAAAGGATCCCCATTTACTTGTGTCAGTCTTTCAGCACTGTACGTAATATTAGGTCTACAAGCATTTACATCTAATTTCTTGTATCCTGCAAAAAAAGGATATTATACACTATTTTAACAATTGGTCTCACAATCTCTATGATGATCTTACAACCTTAGTAACTACTACGAGTATAAGATCGTTTAATACGAGCATAATTCCTAAGAGGAACTACATGAGTATTTTCTGGATTTTACGGTCATAAATTAAATCCTTCTATTAGAATTTTGTATTCTAAATGAGAATTTTTTTTTACAATATCGCACAATTGCGAAACGAACATACTTAAAGATTAGTAGTTATCGATAAGTGCTATTCAAGTTGATATTTCCTCGAGAAGAAACTCTGTCGACCTTACTAAGCAGAAGCGTAACACTATGTTAGTATAGCAGTGTTTAACCATGAGCAGTATGTACGAGTATTTTGTGAAGCCGTCTTCAGAATTGATATAAGGCGTAAAAAATACTTTACAAAAACAGGGATATGGGGCAACGGAGGTTGATGGATGGATATCCAATACGTGTTATATGGGTGTTTAATGTTTTTATTGTATACTGTTTTTCTTATTTATATAAGAATAGCGGTTTTCAACATGTTAAAATTGTTGTACTAATAGACTTTATTTTTACACAATTAATTTTTGGCGATTATTTTGTTATAAAGTTGGTATGGACACAAGATGCCGGTATATTTTTATTTTTTGAAACTGCAATGTTTACCTATTTGCTAAAGACAGCAGCACTAGTTACCATTTAAATGTTTAAGAGTATTTTTCCTAGATGCTTCGCTTACTACGACTTCGTATGAACAGGATTTCGGAGTACTTGGCTTGGTTCTTATTTTTAATGCTACTCGAATATGCACAATTAATCACATTCTGAGAAGTCACAATGCATAAATGTATAAGATTAAATATCAAGAGCATACGAACTTCCTTGCTTGAAGCAGTTCACGGCGTAGTAAATGCATTTGTCAGGAAACATTGCGGTGATTTCTCGTCTCTTGTCAAATGCACAAACAACGTCACCACCACGAATACATAACTTGATCTTTCTGCAGTAACTTGCTGCGAATCTGTCATCTGCCTGAGTCAAAGAACGACAAATATTATTTTAATAACAGTGATGAATCATCTCTGACACAGTAGAGTTTTATATTGAGTTTTTCATAAGTAAGAAGAGGTGTACTGCAATATGTGAGGGTAAAAACTCAATAGTCCTTCGAGTTGTGAAATAATAAACTAAAATAAACCAAAAAAAATGTTATGGAACAATCCTGATCAATTACCAACAACAGTTAGAGGTCCAAGTGCGAGTTTATTTTACATTTATTCGATCGTCAGAGTGAGCACGTTCAGCGTTGCGCTGAACTCTACACCAATCACAGTATCCAACGCGGTCACTGTGACGATCGAGTGAATCGATGTGAAATAAACTAGCACTAAGCCCTCAGGCAGTCCCTTAAAACGAATATACTCGCCGAGGGAACGTACATTTTATTCGGGCATGGACATTTAGAAGCCTGATCGATTAATGGAACAGTGCTTAGTTAATAAAAGGAATACCCCAATACTTTAAAAAAATAACCGTTTGGTAAAGTCATAGAAAAAACCTTAATTAAAATTTATTAGGTCACGCATTAACGGCAAAAAGGAGGATGGTCGTATCAGGTACGCTCTGCTTAAAATGAAAAGAGGTTAAATTACACAAAAAAATGTGGTAGTTAGGAAAACAATATAGAAGTTGAATCAATTAAGGTTTAACCTTACTTGCCATAATCTAGCAATTTTTTTAAATTAATGACCGTTCTAGGCGTTATGTCTCTGGTTACGTAATTAATAGAAATTTGAATATTATTGCCTAGTAAATAGAATTCACATCCACATCCACTATCAACATAACATGAAATAAGGCGACTGCGTGTACACCGCTCTTCACCTTCCCACCCCCATACACAAAACTTTCATTTCACCTAATTAAACCCGTAGAGTTTGCTTCGCTAAAAACTGATTTTCGGTAATATTTTTTAATGTCATTCAGTAATGATTTTCCTCGTAAAACACAAGACTCGTATCATGAGATTCGCATCATGTTTTTGGATATATATATATATATACATTTTTGGCCAGTGATACTCAGGATGAAATAAGGCTATCCCAAACCACCGGATCTGTTCAGGTAATTAGAAGTTATGGTGGAATAAAGAAATGTCTAACTATATAACTATAGTCTAGGGCGGTGCTGAATAGTCCCTTTTTGATTTATATTTAAAAAACACAACGTACTACAATAATAACACATGAAATATTAATAATCAAGCAGTTAGTTATATCTCACTAGAAGTGTATGATTTAGCAAGTTTTATAAGCATTGTCGTCTATCTCTTTCTGTCCCCTAGTAGAGCTTAAAACGAAAAGCGTATTTTTAATATTTTACTATACTATCTATTCCATCTATTTCCTCTCCATCATAAACATATAACGAAGTAACACATTCTACCAATAAGTATATTTATACGTGAAGAAAATTCTTTATCTCCCTTTTTAATAGCGCAAAGAAGCATATCATATTAAGAATACTTAATATTTATATGCATCAACTGAAATCAGAATTGACTTTTTGCTAAGAAGTTAAGAATTATATAAAAATACACGTGATAGCGTAAGTCGTCGATATAATAGCAGATCAAGACAATATCTGGATCTGTTATTTTAGTATATTATACTGGTCATCTTAACCAGTACTTCTTGTGAACAATTTCTTCTAAGTTTATTCATCAATTGAAAATTCTGGATACATTTATTTTAATTCTAATTTATAAACATGTCGTGTCGCGATGTTTATGGTTACACTCCTCCGAACCACTCGACCGATTTTAATGAGTTTCTTTTTGGATATTTGATAGATTTGAGAATAGGTCATAAAATATATTCCACCCTCCTACCCCTACCCCCTATTTTTTAATCATGATGAATCTGTCACTTGAATGATCAAAGAAATCAATTCTTTGATCATTCAAGTGACAGAACAACGTTAGCCAAGTCAGCTAGTAAAACTAGATTTACGTAAGATAAATAAACAATTTATTTCGTCTCGACAAGTTTCACTCTCTGTATCCGCAGTATTAAGCCAGCTTTGGGGGTTGATTTTGTTGGGAACCATGTTGTGGGTGGTTCCGTCACTGTTGGACGAAGATGTATGAACTCAAACGTCTCATTAACATGCTCTTTTTCATAGTTTAATTTCGTATCGCAAACTATCATGTTGACTTCATAGAACACTGAAACAATAAATCGGTTTATTATGTACTCATGGCTTCACCTGTGTGATTGTAGATTTCGTTCATCAATTTAGGTTCTCCCCGGGAGTAGGGGGAAGTCCCGTAGCGCCGGACGGCACCTAGCGTCGGACACTCATACTATTTCGACAAACGTCATAGCGATCTATTTATAAATCGGTGAAAGGGGTGCGGGAGAACGTAGCGAGACAGGATCACGCAACGCGATTTGCCAGTGATGAGTGAGGCGCACAGTCGTGGTGGAAGCGGTGGATTGCTGTTTTTGGTGGGAAAGCGTTGCGTCACGTAAATTTCAAGTAAGTATTACTGCTATGGTTTTATCCTTAATTGTTGTTGTCATTTGTTAATAAAGACAGTGTTTCATTATAATTATTATATTGTGAAAGTTTTTATTAAATACCTAAACAGTTTTAGTATGAAATACGTAATTTTAGACATTTCCTGTCCCCTACTTTCGGACACAAAGGTGTCCCTTACCACCGGACAGTTTATAGGTTAGCTTTTTTATGAAGCATTTGTACTTATTGTAATGATGATTGTTTGTTGTTTTACAGGATATAAGGAAAGAGATATTTGAAAATGCAAGAGAGAAAAAAAAAAGGAAAATGGGATCAGCAAAGTTTAAAAACTGCGATGAACAAGATTTTGTTCAAAAATTGAGTTTGAGGGCAGTTTCGTCACGTTACAATGTTCCAAAAAGTACTCTACATGATAAAATAACGACATTGAGCAGTGGAAAAGAAGTCACGTTGCAACCAAAAGTTGGTAGATTCACAAAAACATTCTCACCCGAGTATGAGCAAGTTTTAGTGGACCACATAAGAGATTTGTCTAATAGATGTCTGCCCCTGATGAAAAACGAGTTTTGAAGTTAGCTTACGACTTGGCTGAAGCTATGAAGATTCCCCATGAGTAAACAAACCAAAGATGCGAAGGCAAAAGGAAGACGTGGCAATAACGACAACAAAAAGGAGCCGCTAATTGAAGTATCAAATATAGAAAAAACGACTTGTGTAGTGTGTTTAGAGGACCACGACAAAGGACTGGATACAATGCTCCAGATACCAATAATGGGCTCATGAAGCATGTGCAGACGTTCCAGAATGTGGAGATGCCTACATATGTGATAGATGCACAATGTTTTAGAATGTCCGGGCGCTTGGGGTTTGAAGATTAACCCGTCCGGCACTAGGTGCCAATGTCAAAGTCCTTTATTTTTTTACCAAAACTTATTTAACATTCCTAAACTATGTTTACGCAGAAGTTGTATTTTTGTTATTTGATTTTGATTTTATGTTTTATTAATTTAAGTAATTCATAAATAAATACATATTTCTCGATGTAGTTTGAATTTTATTTCCTGAAAACCTTATGTGTCCGTCACTAGGGGACTTCCCCCTAATACTTTATCTGGATGTATGGTAATATTTATGTCTTTTTCTGTACTATCCGAACAAAGATTAGCATGTTGGTCTAGTGGTTAGTGACCTTGACTGCTAAGCCAGATGTCGTGGATTCGATTCCCACCCAGGACAAATAATTGTGTGATGAGCACGATCCTTTGTTCTATGTCTAATTCATGTATAATATGTAGATATGTATTTAGAAATATATAAGTACGAGTATGTTTATCAGAAATCTGATCAACATAGCACAGGCTCTGCCTAATTTGGGATCAGACGGCGTGTTGCGGTTGTGTGTGAGATGTGTCAAAACAAGCAAATAAACCAACTTACTTTCTCACTCATGATGTTAGTTAAGATACCCTGATCAACCATAATTCTTTATTAAATAAACAGGATTAGAAAAAAAATGATTAGATTACGCAAGAGTTGCCTAATAGTATGATGTCAACCAGATTTTCAAAATATTTTAATAAAAATAAAAAGGCTGCAAAGAACAACCATAACTAATTAATTGCCTATTTTGAAAATAACTTATCATCGACTATTGTCTTTTTTTTCTTTTTTTTAAAAGACTCCCGTACTAGGAATATATCTTGTGTCGCAAAGGACTTTACAAACATACATGAAACGGACACAAAGAACACGCAGACTCAGAACGACAATTTGTGGATCACATAAAGTGTGGGGATTAAACCCAGACTTCTTTTTTCTTTACTGGCCAAGGATCTCAATGGATGTCGACACACGACTTACTGCTTCAAATGATTACACATTCGTAACTCACATAACAATTACACTCGTAAAAAACTAGTGAATGCAAAATTACACTACCTTCATCATCATTATCATCAACTTATTACCGTCTACCACTAAACGAAGGCCTTTTTTACGAAACCCCCTCATGCCATTACCCTATCGGGGTTTGCGGGAAGGCAGTGTGTCGTAATCGGACCGAGTAAAACTACACGGTGTACCACTCTGCAATTGAAATAGGAGGGATCCGGGAACTGCTGTTACTAATACATCCGGACCCCTCCTCCGAAATAGCGTGAGCACTAACTTTGGGTACAGTCCCTATTTAGCTGAACGAAGGCCTCCCCTACGGAGTAGTAACTTAATTACACAAAAATATTCTTCCAACAATTTTAATTCTTTACTAGTTAGGCACTTTAATTAGAATATATTTTCTGCTGTTGGAATCGTGACTATCCCCTTCAAAAACCTAAACCTAAAATTATTGCTAGTTTTATTACTTTCTGACAAACACAAAACACACTTTAAAACAAATTAATAGTAAAATAGAAGAAATACCTACCTACGGTAGACACCACCCTACGGTAGACTGGTAGAGAATGCCTATGGCATTAAGTTCGCCGTTGTACTTTTGTGCATAAAGTCAATAAATAAATAAATAAGATACAAACCGCCGACACCCCTGCAGTTCGCCTTGTACATTGTACATATGTCACCAAATACTGCTAGAAATGGTTGCAGTGCATCCCAGCCGCAAACTTTGTCACCTCCATAAGGACATGCCTTGGCTTTATGACAGAAAAACTCCTTATGTTTTTGTGAAATTCTTCTACTTGGCCTCTGCAACATCAAAACAATTAGAGCACATAAAATATACTGCAAATATACACAGAACATTGTGATAATTTTAATACTACATTAGTTGTTTTACAATAAAAAATTCTATAAATTTAACAATACTCATATATATTTTGAATTACATAATTATAATAGAATACTTGAAAGTAAATTAGTATATACTACATGAAAAAAATAAAATATTTACGGTAGGTGTATATACTTAATACAAATACTCACAAAATATAATATCCCACTGGAGGACACGAAGTAAATTGGTTCTAATGTATGGATTCTGCTAGCTCTTCACTTTAATCCAATAAACTGAATTACCCTCGAGCAACACTTAAAAATCATTCTTCTTTCTAAAGATTTTATAATCAGGTGCGACAAAGAAAAAGGTAACTGGGTCAACCGGTTTAACATTAAATATCTCATTAAAATTTAAAAATAAATCATTAATAAATTATAGCATATTAATATAATATATAAATAAACATAAAAAGTAAACCAGATATAATTTCATGCAGGACTGGATGAGAATTTTTAACCTTGCAATTAAGCAAACCAGGATACTTTATAATCGTAAACGACTTGAGATATTAGTCACCTAGATTAAGTACTACTAAGGCTTTAATCCCGTTTTGATGATCTCATGAGTCCTAGTAAGATTGAAGTTACCGGTGCGAATGAGTTCAAACCCCCCTTTAAATCTGGGGAGGGGATTTAAAGGGTAGCAACGCACTTGTGATTCTTAAGTTGCAGGTGTCAATGGGCAGCGGTAGTCACTTACCATCAGAGGCCCAAGTTTATTTCACATTTACTCGATCGTCACGGCGACCGCGTTCGGCGCTGCGATTGGCTATCACTGAAATCTCCACCAATCACAACGCCGAACGCACTCGCTGCCGGGAGAGAGTCGTTTGCTATACCATAAAAAAATTAAGAACGATGATGATGGCAATCCAAAAAAATTATACCAGATGAATTTGAGCAGATGAAAATATCACAGATTCTTCTGCAGACCTTTAGTAATTTTTTTTAAAGACAGCTTCCGTACGAGGAATAAATCCTGTATCGCGAGGGAATTTACAAGCAAACATGAAAGAGAGAAACGAACGCAAAGGATCACACAAAGTGTTGTCCCATATGGGGATCGAACCCACAACACTCAGCGCAGTAGGAAACGGTCAGGTGACCGCTAAGACCACTACGCCATCCGTTCAGTCATTATAATGGAAGTAAGAGCATACTTACATTAAGATGATGTTTTCTGCTTAAGCCTTCATGTAAACTAAGGATAATAAATACTGAAAAAAAAACAATAAACGCTTTTGTCATGTTATGAAGTAGAGTAGTTCTATTGATCTTGTTCTTTAATCTTTTAGATATCATACAAAATCCTTAATGGAGATTTTCGTCCCCGGTTTAGGCAGATATTTAGGCAGATTATTAGGCAGCCAATTTTTTGTTCAAGCATATTGCATGTCGTTATGTGTGTCATTCCGTGATCATGGGAGAGCCATGCTGTGGCCCAAATGGGTCGGCTCGACTGGAGTGACATCACGGGCTCAAAGAAAACCGGTGTTAAGCATTTCTATCATTGCTTTTACCGAGTGAGTGAGGTTCGACCGGATTTAGAGGGGGAAGCAAACAGTTGGCAATGCACTTAGTAGTACGCACTTACCATCAGGTACTCTTCTGCTCGCTTGTATGCCTATGTCATAAACAAAAATCTAAACTCTGCAATGTTATGTTTTCTAATTAGTCAGCAAAAACATCTAGAAATTAAATGATGACAGGGCAAATTTTTTCATCGCTTCCCGAGGTATTTAGTGTAATTAACTCAGGAGAACAATTATATCTGTTGCACAAAGCTGTTATGATGAAGCATTATTTCATACTAATATCTAACAAGTGGAATGAGACAAGAACATTATTTAAGCCAATCGTTGACTTCAGCAGAAAAATTGTTTGAGAACATTAACCATAGAAGCAATACTGTGAGGCTTTTGGTACAACCATCCATCATTTGACAGGCATGTTGGTCTAGTGGCTAGTGACCCTGACTTAGTTTAGTCAAATGTCGTGTGTTCGATTCCAACCCAGGATAAAAAAAAATTTGATGAGCACCATCATTTGTTTTTATCTGGGTATTATTTATCTATAATATGTATGTATCTAGAAATATATAAGTATGTTTATCAGCAGTCTGGTTACTATGGTACAGGCTCTGACTAGTTTGGGATCAGACAGCCGTGTGTGAGATGTGTGAAGTTATTTTTTATTTTATCACAGATAGTTTTAAATTATTGTCTAAAAATATGCATTTTACTTACAAAATACGGCACACACTTTAAGTACTTCCATTGCTTGCTTTTACATGGTAATAATAATGTTCATTGAGATTGATAAATGATTAATAAATTACACGCTTATTGGATTTTAATGCTTGTAAGTAGTTTTGCGCGCCTTCTACGTCTTATTCTGAAATGTAAAGAAAAATTAGCGTTGCTTTAACAACACGGAGTAGTCGTAGATTAGTTTCTTACTCCATTTGATATATTTAGAATTACAAACTCATCTAACATTTTTTTAGATTATAAAAAGACAAGACTAGGATTCAGAACAACAATTTGTGGATCACACAACTTATTGTCACATGTGGGGATCCCACAACACTCAGCGCAGTAGAAATTGGCGAGAAGACTGTTAAAGACACTATGCCATTCGTGCAGACGATTAAATTATATTTATAAATATGTAAATCATTTTTTAATTTTTTTATTTATTATAGACACGCCAACAGTACACATATACAACATTGTTCAAAATACAATTCAATATAAAGGATACTTCATATATGTAGACCAATTAAAGGCATGCACGGTATACATCACTTGACTGCACAGATGGCGTAGTGGTTTAAGCGGTCTACACCCAGTGTTATGGGTCCGATCCCCACATGGGACGACACGTCTGTGAATCTTGAATAACAAATGGAGTGTACCATGAATTACTATGATATGTTCTTGTGGTAGATATCCTCGATACAATGTCGCGTCTTATCGTATTTCTTTACTGTTCAATTTCAAATTAAAACAAAATTACGCTTTTCTAGTCGTAATCAGTGCTAATATCACGTTAAATATATTAAGAAGCATTAAGTTATTTAATCATACAGACAGACATAGGTATATTGTTTCGTAATGTTTTTTATAACTTCTCCCCATACTGGAGCCTTTTACCATGTAACCTTTAGCGACCACACACAAGAATGATTCTCAGTCAGTCATCGCGGTCACATCTAGTATGCGTAAATGTGTATTTTCGTACTCACTATTCTGTTTAAACGCAGAAGGTAATACTTCAGTTTCATCACTATTGTTCGAGAAAATTCTTTCAGGACAGTCACTAAAGGTCCTCTTATTTTAAGTAACAAATATTTCTCCGAACCACACTTCATCATTTTCGCATACATATTTCTTAAAAGAAATAGCAAGATTGTCATAATAATATTTTACTATGCTGGAGTATAAAAATGAAATTGTGTAATCTTTTGTTTGATTTAAATACATAAACTTTACGACTAAAAATAATGAATAAACATCCATACTAATATTATAAGTGCGAAAGTGTGTCTGTCTGTCTATCAGTTACCTCTTCACGCTTTAACCGCTGAACCGATTTAGATGAAACTTTGATTCTTGAGGAAAGACATATACTACTTTTTATCGCGATAACCAACATTTACGCGGGCAGAGCCGCGGAAAAAAACTAGTATGTAATAAAACGGTATATTAATATACTATCTTTTGCCCTCGTCTTCGTCCGCGTGGTGATAGAAACCAGACATCGTAGAGGATACAATGAATCAAAATTATAGATATATTCTTCATACAAACTTGCAATCCTTTTTAAGCGTATTTCTGAAAAATTAGTAGCAACGTTTTCTTTACTTTTATTAAAGAGTATTTCCAAGCCCCATTTTACACCCTTTGAGCCGCCTTTTTAAAAATCCTTCTTAGTGTACACCTGTGTCACCTAAGGAAGATTTGTGTCAAATTTCACGCTTTTATACCCAGTAGTTACAGCTGTGCGTTGATCGATCAGTCAGTGAATCAGTCAGTTTCTTCTTTTGTCCTAACCCCGCGCTAGGGACCCATTTCACCATAAGAAAACTACAGCTAGGTCGTTTTTCCTAGTCGAGGAATCTCGAATCAAACAAAAATGAGTTTTTTTTTTATCGGTTATAATACAATGCCATACTCGCTATGTCAATCATTTAAACTGTTATCATAATACTAAACAACTTGTATCGTATCTTTAGAGTGTAGATTTACCCCAAGAAGGTTTTCAAACTAGTACGATTTATTATGTTCTACCTCTTCCACCATCATACGGTAATATACTATTATATTAGTTGTGTGTTGCCAAATGTATGAAGTAACTAACGATTTAAATGGACTATGTACGAAATTTTACTAACTGTTCTAGAATATCGAGTGTTTCCTTCATTGATATATAGCGTCCTAATTATTCCAGTTAAATTGATCAAGAAAGTTAATATTTTATCGCTATCCGCTTATGTTTAATTGCCGACATTTCACACGAAGACGTGTGATGAGAAAACACTCAAAAAACAATAAATATTTACGTAGTTTAGCAAAGCGTACACAAAAAATATGTTATAAATGTAAACCTGAATGTGATTACTGTAGACTGTATGCTTGACATGTTAGGTGACGTTTGCCTGCCAAAAAGTTTATTGACATGAAACGCCCACAGAGAGAGAAATAGGTCAAAAACCTATTTCTGTGATTGTTTAACTTCATTGTAGTTATCAGTTTTTTATGATATATCGCAAACTAGCAGACGTATCACCTGACCACCATGACTACCGCCACTCATTAAGAACTGCAACTCAGGAGTCACAAGTGCATTGCTTGTATTTGATTTGGAAGTACTATTTTTTTAATAATTTGAAAGTCACATTGGTTTTTTAAAGTCGCTTCACACTGACTAACTTAACGTCATTAAAAAAATCACACACACGTGTTTCTTTATTTCTAAAGATTCAGATTTTTGGCAGAAGAGAAATAGATAGAAATAGGCCTACTTTTATTTTATTTTTTAATCTTTTGCTTTTGAGTCGGTCACTAACACGCCTGCGTTCTAATTTAGGTTTTATTCAAGCCTGTTAAAGAGTCGCTATTAGCATACATTTCTTTGCGCTTTAATCTTTTCTGTAATACTTTTGAAATAACTACATGCCATATCCCCAGAACAGCGACTTAAAAATAATAATAATAACTTCAGGCATGTCACACTCGACTGTCTGATTCCAAATTAGGCAATGCCGGTGCTATGGTAACCAGACGGCTGATAAATATACTACTTAAATATTTCTAAGTACATATATTTATTGGATAAATTACACCCAGATACAGAAAAAATGATCGTGCTTATCACACGAATTATTTGCCCTGGGTGAAATAGGAGAAAATAATACCTATGTGAAAAATTTAAAATTTAAACTTTTGTATCCATCATTTTATTTATGACTATGAGTGATATTTTCTTTCTCAAGTTTCATTGTCGAGTTCTCATTAGACTGCTGTACCTTTATTACCATCGGAGGCAACTTATCACATTTGCATTTTTCAGTTTTAGTGAAATCTGAAATCAAACAAGGTGTCATTTTATTATTGTTTTCACAGACACACATTATAAAACAGACAAAGGGTTCGAAAATCCCAATCTTGAAAGCTAGTTTATGAAGCCCTTATATCTTATGAAAAGTTAAAATCCAATGTATAAACCATAAATATAAGTTAGGTGCCAAACGAAAACCGTCAAATATTGCATAAAAACATTTTTATATTTGTATTGTACGTATGTTTTATACAATAGTTCTTTTGTAAATACTTACTAAGCAGCCGCCCTATGATTTTAATCAAGAACATTTGACAGATTATGACTATATACAACTAAACTGGAATTAATACGATCAATTCAAGGTATAAATTCCATTAAAGATGCATATTACATTGCTTTAATAATAGTAGTAACAGTAGTAGCTAAGATCATGGGCTGATAAAATAATTGTCATACCCAATGGTCGTGTACCATATGCCAATTTGCAAGACAGTTACTATTAGTTGCATGTATTGATAAATACAGACAATATTGTTATTTATAAAAATCAAATGCATAACATACCGGTATTGTATAAACAGTTATATTCTAGAAGATCGCAGGTATCTATGAAGCGCCTGACATTTCCATTACTATCTATACCGCATTTTTCGTTTCCTTTGTGGATACATATTCTTGCTATGTAGCAAAGCTAAAATGATTTATATAAAAATGTTAAACAAGCAGCATATCTAATACAGACTTGTTTTACGGCAGCGATAGCTTGACGTGATGTAATTCAATGTTATCGGTCCTGAAATTGAGTGATTTAGATTTTGTACAACACCGATTACTACCGACGTGACCTTAGCTAATCCTTTTGTTAGGAGCGCGATATCTATCGTCTATTCACGTATCTTTATCACCACCTTCATTACCCACGTCACCAGCATACTTGATTGAAGATAAAAATTATTAACTGAGGTCACGTCAGAAGAATTCCTACACAAGATTCTTAAAACAAATATTCTTTAAAAAAATATTATGTATTGGGATAGATAGCATGTCGATAATGTCGACTGTTTAAAATTAAATGATAGGTCGTTTAGATGTTAAAATTAAAGCATCTGATTTTATATACAGTCCACTTACTTTGTTATTGACTGCTAAGTTATAATTCACAGACAATAATATTGTTCCTGTAAAATAATTATAAGTTAAAACAGGTTTTTAAATGTTCAAATAACGTTTGTTCATTGTTACATACCAATCTTTCGAAGTTTACAAAAACTTTATTCTATTAATTCAAACTAAGCAGATGCAATTTTGGTAAGACCTTGCAAACAAAGGCTATTCCTCTAACATAACATCATCTAGAATTATTGTTGAAGAAAAACACATGACTAATTGTAATTGAATACTTCTGTTTTGTAAATGAGTACATATTACATACAGACAACAAGCCAAAATATCCTTAAACGAGAATTGAACTCGCAATCCCTGACAATGATTTCTGCAACGCCACAATTTTCGTTAATAATAAAACAGTGAAACGATTACTAATTAAAGTTACTGTTTTACTTTCAAATGAACTCTGTGTAAACGATAACATATATAAAAATACTGTTTACCGATTGCTATTGCTATGAAATGCATTTCAAGTAATGTTGTTGACAAATGAAACAAGCGACTTTATGTTAGTTATAAAGTATAAAACTTTATATTCGTTGTGCAATGAAAACAAAATTAAAAACAAACTTCTTTAAAGCAATAAAATACCACGACTTTTAATGCAAATTAACACAATAATAGTAAAATTAAATAAGCATTTCGAAAAAACTCAAGTGGGTACTTAATGTCTTCCCTTTTGTGACAATGTTTCATTCAATCCTTCGCTCCCCTTTCCCTCAAAGATTCGAGATTTTTCATTGTACACTTATACAACCTCAAATGTTATCAAGAAACTTCATATGTGCTTTTTCATTCTACTACATTCTTTACTCATCCTTAAAACGTAACTGCAAAAAGTTTGTGGATCGCTACCTGTAGAAATCAGACGAGCCCAAAATCTAAATATCTCTAAAGCAAGAGAGCTGAATTACCCTGGGCACGTCCTTGTGCTGGGGGAGTTCAACGCAAAGTCCATTGCGTGGTTTTCTCCCAGGACGGACGCAAGGGGCGAGGCCGTAGAGGAGTGGACGGCCTCGGTAGGCTTCTGTTTTCTAAAAAGAGGCTCCACCAACATGTGCGTGCGACAGCAGGGGTGGTCGATAGTAGACCTTTCGTTCGCTACCCCTGCCATTGCCGCACGACTAAGGAACTGACCCTTGAATACAAAGATTATCCTAAAGTACTTACCTTCTCTAACTAATGATTGTCTGTTTGTATTATTTACGAGTAAATGTCAATTTATAGTACGGAGTACAAAATTAAAAAAAATGTACTTTTACATTTAAATGCACTGATTAAAAGATTTCTTGTGAAAAGCCGTTTACGATGATTGCCTTTTATAAGTTACCACAGGATGTCAGGCCAACTCGTACCGCTTTTCACTTCATTTGTACATCTCAAAGATTTCTCTCTTTTTTATTGTTTGTTTTTGTCAGATATTTAACAAAGTAAATACGAGTATATGCCTATCGAAAATCTATTATATCTCTGTGGCTGTGCCTATTACACACAACCGCCCGTTTCCAAAGGGAGCCTTATGAGAAGAAACACTATTTTTTAAATAACAAATAGATACAATCAATGTCATCATAAATATACCACAAAATTGTTTTGATGTGTGCCAGTATATCAGTTATTAAGGACTAAAAGGTAAAAAGAATGAGAATGAAAAGAAACCAAGATAAAGAAAAGAGGCGGAATAAAAAAAAGTGATTTAAAACATAAAAAAACTGAAAAAACAACTAAAAACACAGTAGCCCACATCACACATTCCACTAAGAAATAGCCTGTGCTAGATTAATTCCAAGCATTCTTGTCTTCTATGTAATCCATGATCGAGTAATAGTAATAACTAGTTCGTAATTGAGTAATCCATGATTCTGACATAGTTTAAGTTTTATTATGGATTTAAATTAGTTTATATTTAAGTCTTGTATATTTTTTGAGTTTTTATTATAAAATCGGATACATTGACCTCGAAATAACTTGTTTATCTTTTGGAGCCTAGAGGCAGGCAAGAAGACCATCATTAGTTAAAATTCTTATTTGTTGTGTATTTTTCTCTCTTATTTTTCTCTTTTCTATCAAATTTCGTCATTAGTTTATCCATAATGTAAGAGACAAAAAAATATCTACCAACTTAATATACTTTCAATAAAATAAAATAGAAATCGATTTCCAGGTTTATTTATTTATACAACACACGACAATAGACGGTATACACATGAAGCAATTTTATTTCAAAGTGTTTTTCACGTCGTTTTTATTGCTTTTAACATACACGGTTCAAGCAAAAAAAGTATGAAGGAGTACGTTAGTTTAATTTTAATAGATACATATCATTTCATATCGAAAATACCCTCTGACACCTCATTATCTGCTCAGGCAAATAACATCTAGTGCTTCTAGATATAAAGATCTATTCTAAGGATTGGCACACAGGGAATTCTTGTCGATATACATATATTTCAACCGAATATGTTTGCAGAATATAAATTCAAAGAGAGCCTATCTTTTAAAGGTTAAAGGTAATCCTCGAACCAACTGCTAACATTTTAGCACTCACACAGCAAACCATATAAGCCAATTGGTTAGGTATTATTTGCGTTTACTCCGAATAAAAACGGACAAAATGGAGGGAAATGGTCATGATTATTCTACACATTGTCCGAGGTTTTCAGATCGAAAGAGGATACAAGGCGCGGATGTTTAGTCCACATAAGTATTGGTATTCCTCTATTTGTGTTGCAGATACCATGCCTACAACTTGTAGGATGTGTACACAACAAACGTCGAAAATGCGGTATCCTCCAATCTACAAATGAAGTTCGATGGTTTTTGGATAAATGTGATATTTATGAATTTAACTGCGAATACAAGACTAGTAAGATTTTTTTTATTTGTATGTTTTAGATTTTAAATATTAATAATTTGATAAAATATTATGAATCTAAACCAAACTGTGGTTACTGCATGCGCTAAAAATATCATGAGTAAGCTACTGAGTGCAAATTAATGAAAGCCTTTTAGTCTAATACTACATCTTGTAATATATTATACTCGTATAACATATGTGTCCTAGAAATAAAAGTTGACAAGACATGTCCTTTTGCTATATTGGTTTTCTTTCAGATTCTTCGTATTTAATCTTTAATTATAATTCACACACACAATAAACACACGGGTTCACTAACCTATCTAAATTTAATGAATTATTACTGATATAGTAATTTTCCTTTTCAGGTTTTGAAGTAACAAATAAAATTAAATGTAGAGATGTACCACCCATATAAAAATTATAATTTCAGGACGAAGAAATTTAAATAAACTCACAAATATACTATTAAGAGGTATAATATAATGTATTTATACAATACTATAAGTGTTGTGGTTTATAACGTCGGGCGGCAAGTATGTACAAGAGCAAAATCTGAAAAAATAAAAGAAACTTTAAAAGCGTGCCTATAAATGAGCTAAAAGTCTGTGAAAAAGGTTTGTGTTAGCACTTTTGTGTAATTATATACATAAAAGTACTTAAAAAATAATGTACTCTTATTTTTTTACAGATATGATAAATTTAATTAAGGTGTCGAGATTTTTTAATCGAGCCTTCCTGAAAATATTATAAAGTTTTAATTCGACTATTATATTTATGCACTGTTAAATACTTACTGTATTTATAGTAACAATTGACATGTAGCATGTGACAAATATCATCAAACTTTCCATATCCATAATTATCGTCGAATCCACATATAGACTGTTCAGTCTTTTTGCAAAGCATAGCTTCCTCACACCAAGGACTTAGTTCATTCTTATTAGCTTGTCCTGGATCGATACCAGGACTACCACCAAACGACCGTCGATTATACTAAAAAGATGGAAAATCTATTGATTATTATCTTTGAAGTGTTGGATTATAAACATTTAGTCTTGTTAATTACGAGTATGTGCAATCATAAATCTTCTATCCTTTCAGTAAAAACATATGAATACAAATAGAAAGACGCAATTTTTGAAGTAACTATTTATTAACAAAATTTTAAGTAAAATAGTTAGGTAAGTGTGTGTTCATCTCTTGAAGCTATAATATGAGAATCAAAAAAAATGTTTTTGAATACATAGATTAAACTTTACATATCTGCTCAAGAGAATCCCATCGCACTTACCTCAACAGTAAGCTCATCTGGATTACTCTGTAAAATGGGCGTAGCATCCGTATCACTCTTAATTTCTTCCATAAATAAGTCTTTTGCTAATCTCCCAAACATGGGAATATTCTTTCCTAATCTTAATATAGAATTTTCTGTTTCCTTATGAAACGAGTTACTACGTCTTTGTACATGCTCTCTTGTTTTTATAGTTTCGACTTTAGTTGGTAGCTTTGGTTTTTCAAGGGATTTACTTAGATGTTCAATGAGTTGTCTAGTGATCTCTTCCTGACGATCCACTTTTTTTACTAAGTGCTCAAGAGCTTGCGTATGTGCTGTTAACTTCTCCACTAAAAAATCGTTAAAATTTTCTGAATTCAATGCTTCTCGTTTTTTAACCTTTTGGTAAAACATTTTATGTTACTAACATTTCTAAGAATGTTTAAAATAAAATTCTTAAGTATTAATATTGTTTATCCTCACCTTTGTTACTGGTGCTGGTATAGGGTATACAAGGATGTCCTCCAGAACGTCTGTGTTTTCTAGAACGTTAACATCCTCCATTTTAATGTGAACTATTGTAATCAATACCGCAAAGCCTAAAACAACACAAACACATGTAATCACTGCTGCTAGAAAATTATTTGCATCTTTTACATACTTTCACAAGAAGTTGACAAATTTGAATATAATTTAAATTGTCAAAATTCGTCAGTTAGATATCCTGTTGCCCTTAAATTGAGAAGTAATACCAATTAAAGGATTACTCAAATACATAATTTCTGACATAAAATGTTAGATGTGCATTTTACATAACACGGTTTTTTAATGACCCTGAACGGGCCTGTCGAGAATAACCGTCGTTAGTTAAAGAAATTTAAATTTTCAAAGTCAGAAACCTAACTGAAAGTATACCTTACCGATAGCTAAAGACCTCATGGTGAGCACTTCAGATCCTGCACGGTACGGACAAGTTGACATAACCAACGCCACTTATAGTGTTCATAATTGAATACGAGTATCAATAATTTTGATCGTTGTTCATGTAATTTATCTGGTTCATACCTTTTTTTTTGCTTAAATCTATTTCGAAATAACCTACAATAAAAAATTAAATACTTATTCATTATCGAATAGTTTCGGTGGCTATTTGTCATATTTATTTATTTATTTGTACTTCCTGGAAATACATTGCAAAAGGCGGACTTAATGCCATAGGCATTTTCGTCCAGTCAACCTTGGGGTGATGCAGAGATTTGTGTGTGGCAAGTGTATAATGAGATAAATTATTAATTCATATCGTGATTAATTCTACTTAACCGATTAAAGGTATACTGGAATTAAAAAGTATTGCTTCTATTAATAGATTGGAGGTGTAACCAATAGCTCAAGCAGGTCATTATCGCTTATCTGTAATTCGAACTAGATGTTGCCGAGAAGACCACGGTTTTTATGACAAAGGTTTTTATAGTATGCGTATCAAGTGGGATACGGAAAAGTATGCTAAATACATTTCAATTAAAATATTTAATATGAGTAACATATATGTATAGTATAAAATTATAATATTTACATACAAGCGTCAATACGACGACCGAATGGCGTAGTGGTTTGTGCAGCAGACTGCTATTCCAAAGGTCGCGGGTTCGATTCCCGCTCAAGTCAAGCATTTGTGTGCATGAACATTTAATGTTTGATTTGGTCTGGGTGTTTCTATGTATAATATATATATATTATACATGTATGTATGTATTTATATCAGTTGTTTAGTACCCATAGTACAAGCTCTGCTTAGTTTGGGACTAGATGGCGTTGTGTGAATGTGGTACAATAAAAAAAAAAAAAAAAAAAAAAAAAAAAACTTCCTATGCATCATCACCTACTCATAGTGTTCCCAGAAGACTGACAGCAATAATTCCCAAACCAGCTTCCAATGTCGATATATCAATATTCATTCTTATAATCCGTATCTCTTTTATATGTTTACATATTGTGCCTACATTTACTCGATCCACCTACTTGAATAGAGCGAATAGGGCAAGATCAATAGATAAAGCTGTGTTCTAGAAAGTGAAAGTTACTAGGACAATTTCTACAAAATGCAAAACAACTGGCTGACTGACGTAAGCACACAGAGATAATTAAACTGTCATCGTCAACAGCCTTTAATAGTCCACTGCTGGATATAGCCCTTTCCATAAGAAGGTGGGTTTGGCCTACTGTACCACGCTAGCAAGACGGGTTACTATGGTTTCTATGTAGAGTTCCGACAGTTTTCCTTCTCTTTGCAATGCTGTTATCTTGCGTAGTTTGCTCCCTCAGTAGGCTCTTACGACACCCACGGGATTAATAGGGATGGTGACACCGATGGATGGTTTTCGACCGGAGGCACCGGTTGACCTGAAGTGATGCTGTGACCACGCGCTCTCCGCCCTCTATCTCGAAAACGGTTCACCGTATAAAAATTTTTTTTAAACAAAAGTTGTAGAGAATTTTGTATTCTACAATATTGATAATGAATACAAATAGCAGAAACCCATAGGAAATGAGATATTTCCAAAAAAAGCGCAATAAACCGATTTTTGTGACTTTTGACCTTGAAATTTAATAGTTGCTTACACCCTACCATATGTAGGTTTTGAGACAACTTTTAGGGTGTCAATATACAAGTATTTACAGACTTACAGCTGGGTATCTCGAATTAAGAGATTCTTACCTAATTTAAGCTTAAATGACTTTACTATATTTTGTTTGTTGTTCAAAAATGCCCAACGCGCCTGAAGAAGTTATTACTTCAAAAATCATTTTGTAAAAACCAGTGCTTTAAATATTCATTTAATCATATTAATATTTAATACAATATCTATTGCACCGAATTCCTTAGCTGATTAACTAGTTTCGTAAGTATTAATTAGTAGGTTTCAACTACTAGTTGAAGAATGTTCACATATAGATGTTCAATTACATTGTATATTTAACCCAGTTCATAGATCTACTTTACATTTGTTCGTAGGCAGTTGTTATAAATGTTACTAGTAAAGTAATCGATTAATGAATGATATTTAGCAAAGGGTTTGAAAATTTATCGTTTAAATTAACTAAGTTATCACAGCGGCTGTTTTTCTGATTCGATATTATTCTATACATTATACCCTCCCTTGATATATGCAGCAATAAAGTATTTTTTGAGTGTTTATTCTAATTAAATTAGGGATAAACAAAAAGACGGGTCATCTAATGGCAAGTGACTACCGCCGCCCATGGACACCTAAAATTCAAGTCATAAGTGCATGTCACCGAAAACCGGCCCATTACTGCCGAAACATGACTCTCCTACATTTTAATTTGTTGCATTTTGAGCTGTGTATATTTAAGGGATGTTGGATTTTTAGGTAACTAAACTTTTCTACCTAAATATACTTATTTTAAGCGAAAAAACATATGCGTAAAAATGTTTTCAAAATAAATTTGTTGTACTGTTAAACGCAAATTTCCTTCACATTTATTTTCCTTTATTTCTTTAAATATATTTTTGTTTTTAACCCTCCTCGTTTTTACTAATTTAATTTAGTAAAACTATTTCATTCTTATTATTCTTAAACATTTTTAAATTACCTTTTAAAGACCAAAAAAGCTTTAACAGATGCACAAAGCTATAACACAATCCTGAAGAACTTTATGTTGTCGGGTCATCACAATTGTTTACTACCGTAGTACTACTACATAAAGTATCATAATTAAAATAAGTAGTAAATAAAATTTTACCACTTATAAATTCTGTAGTGGTATCATTTATCAAAGTCATTAAAGGAAACGATTGAAGCTATTCTCTCCCGAGCAGCGATTATAATTTTTCCCCTTTAAATCTTTCGAGCTACCTTAGACGACCCGGACAGATTAATTGATAGATAGATGTATCAGTATTGGAAGAGAAACTGTGTAAACTGGGTACATTTAACCAGGTTTATAGGACGTATTATCTGCAATCACATATTTATATTTACTAGAGATCACCTGAATATCAAATGTTCACTGTTTTAAATGTCTTGTGTCCGTGTGGTGACGGATTAAGAATGCAGAGTGTCACCACCCCTATCCATCCAGTGGGTGCCGACAGCCGACTAAGGGAGCAAACTACGCAAGACAAGAAGAAACTTGAAACAAACCCTAAAACAACGCGTCTGGCCAGTGTGGTATAGTAGGCCTAAACCTTCTTTTAAGGAGAGCCCTAGCAGTGAACTAGTAAAGGCTGTTGATGATGATGATGAAATGTCTTGTTTTATTTCTTTAACCAGCGTAACTTGAACTGTCCTCGTATTAAATTTTTATTCCGTACATAATATAATATATGTGCTATGCTACATATTTTGATCTGTCTATACCATAACGTTGTGTAGGTAGTATATATTTTTTCTGTAAAATATGTTAGCTTTGTGCACTTCTTCCACCCTTAAACGTAATTCCAAATTGACAGGCTACCCTTTTTTTTCCGTGCGGAAATCAACTCGGATACCACCGGCATGGCATGTCGCACTCGAACCGACTAAAACCCCTCGCCGTCTCGGGTACTAAAAGCCGGGGAACCAGGTATACCCTAAAAAGGAAGTCCCTGGTGCCCCGACATACCTCGGGCCATCTACAACAAGTAGCCATCTACAACAAGTAGTAGCGCGCTTCGCAACGCGCTCGCTTATGGAGGACGGAGGTCGTTCTGCGACCTCCGGCGCCTGAGTCGCCTGCGGTACCTGGCCCGTTCCCGTGCCTGGCGGGCCGGGAGAGTCCTAAACCTCTCCCGGTCCCGCTCCGCCGTCTCCTTTGCGAGCATATCTTGCTCGCAGAAGTCAGAGTTCCACGCACTCTCGCTCCGCACGATAGCCGCAATCAGGCTATCGAGCGAGAGAACTCCCACTCCGATGGCCGCCACGAGGTCTCGCCTCTGCTCAACCCACGCCGGGCACTCTGCCAGCGTGTGGAGAGCCGTGTCCACGTTCTGGCCATCGCAGTGGTGGCACTCAGGCGTTGGGCTCCTTGCGGATCAGACACAGGTGATCCCCGAAACATCCTTTCCTAGTGATCACCTGCGTCAGTCGGTATGAGAGGGTCCCGTGACGCCTCTCGAGCCAACCCTCCATAACGGGTCTTGACAGGCTACCCTGAGTCTTTGTCTAATAAGGGGTACAAGTAATTTTCTGGGCGTATCTATATAATATTTATATCTTCAAAAGGATCAAGATTATTAGACTGCTGTTTACCTTTACAATATGATTTATAGTAATTATGTACGGCGTGATTGCATTAAAGACGTTGTCACGCCTCTCTAGTATTGAATTACTGTATTAATCTTATCACGTTTTATACGCTAATTCATTGCGAAAATAATATGTATATAATACGTATGTTGAGTCATAACTTAAACATAGTTTTTATAAATTTGATTTCATTAACGTAAAAGCGAGGAGGAGCGCACGGGTCAATCGTTTTAGGGATTAAGAGCGGTAAACATGCTTTGCCACTCATCTCCGTTCCGCCCTTAAGAAAAATATTTTCTTTTAGGAGTTACAACCAAGAAAAGCTATCAAGACAACTGTGGTTAAAGTAGTGGCATCATGATTGCAGTAATAGCAGTTTAAGGAAGGACAGAGCGTTCTTAACGAGAGAGCTTGCTTTCTGTCTAATTGAGGGAGTCGTCTAAGATGATAGGTTATGCGAATACTGCCGGCCGCTGCAATAGATAGGTCTGATGTCAAAGATGTCTCGCCTTAATTGTACCGAAATCACTTTTAAGTTTCGACAAGCTCCCTGCAGCAAAGAATAACTAAATTAAAATTTGGTATAATGGACTGACTAGCATTGAAAATATCAACTTAAATTAGTGCCGCTTAAAATAGATAATAGGTAATCTTATTATCGTATAAGTGACACAACAGGCGCATTTAAAATTCCAGGTATCCGCAGATACCTGAAGTTCAGTTTTTAACACAGAAAATCGAAATTAAGGTACGTTGTGAGGCGGTTTGATAAAAATATAGGATTTTTATTGATACAACGTTTACTCGTATATTTTCCAGATAACTAATAACTTATTGTATTGCGTACTGACTAGCTCCAGTTATTAATTTTATGTTTTTACGTATTTATCATAGATTTGTTTTTGTTTTTATTGTAAGTAAGTGTAAGTCTTGCATTATTGTATTGGTCTATCTGTGATAATAATATATAGTATGGTATAAATAAATAAAAGTAAAATAAAGTTTACACATCCTTTACACATCTAATCCCAAACTAGGCAGAACCTGTGCTATGGTAATCAGACTGATAATATTTATAAAAAAACTTAAACTTGAAAAAAACTTATACATTTCTAAATACATACATATTATATATAAATTTCACCCAGACACATAACAAATTATCGTGCTCATTAACTAATTATTTGTTCTGGGCGGGAATCGAATCCACGACCTCTGGCAGTCATACACATTATACAGGCAACATATTTTACATTGTACAGCATAAATACTGTACACTGTACCCTTAAAAATAATCTATACTAATATTATAAAGCTGAAGAGTTTGTTTGTTTGTTTGTTTGAACGCGCTAATCTCAGGAACAACTGGTCCGATTTGAAAAATTGTTTCAGTGTTAGATAGCCCATTTATCGAGGAAGGCTATAGGCTATATATCATCACGCTAAGAGCAATCGGAGCGGAGCACCAATGAGGAATGTTTCAAAAACGGAGAAAATTTATTACTATTGAGAGACGCAGACGAAGTTGCGCGGGTCAGCTAGCACAATATATAAGTGTATTAATTAATTCTCAGAACACGAGCTATGTTGAACGTTGACTTATGGCATTGACTCAAACTTTTCTGGGAAATTATAATTAGGGAGTATTGACCGGCCTAACAAGACACTTATAGGATAACAAAAAGTGTGAGTCAGTAGTGATCCAACGAAATTGATAGTCTCACAACGCTCCGACGCCTGAATTCTTCCATTATTAACTGACGCACAAAATATGATTGCTAGCTACGTAATTGTACAGATCCACAAATAAAATGAATATTCTTACTTGTATACCTTTGGTAAATTACAGCTTAGAGGAATCTTAATGTTAAAAATGAAATTGATGTCATACTACATTTACGGATACTAAATTTTTTAACACGCTTTTATTAGACTGGTATGTATGTGACAGAATCTTTGACCGATTTTGATCCACAGCATAACGTCGAATTAAATTGAAACTTAGCACAATTATCAAGGCCCGATTACAATGCAATACTTTAAATAATTTGTTCCATTAACCTGATCAGGACCTTTAGGATTAACGGAATTTTCCATACCTCAAAATACGGTAGTGTCTTTTGCCACGTACGATGCCAGGCGTATGGTAAAGCATATGTTATAAACTTACTTGTTACTATTTTATGTTTATTTTTTAACAAGAAAATAATCGTCAGTAATTAATAAAAAAGGAAAATATATTATACTTTAAAAAAAGAGCGTGGGGTGCTTTTAGATGTATTTTATAATTTAATAACTTACTTACTTTTACATAAATCCGTCGGTAAAATATTTTCCAGCAATTGAGATCTTGCACCCCACGCTTTTCGCGCCCTTCGTTACTCCTTCTCGGTAAGTTTTAGGTTCGTTACGCTCAGTTTCATTGCTCTTTGTCATATCTATAGCTTCACATCTTTGCTGCTGTGCGATGCCGAACTGGGGTCTGACAGCCGTATGTGAGGCGTAGGAGGATATAGGTATTACCTACATGCTTATTTATTTCTTAATATGGGATGTTTTTTTATTTTTATTATCTCTTTCAAAGACCAATATAGATTCCAAGTCTTCGGATATCTCTTTTGTGGATTGGTTTTTTTTATTTATATAACCTGTCCAAGATAAACGATGTGATGTTTTTTAATGACATGTTCTGTAAGTTACAGTAAATGTCTTATATTGGGATAAAAATACTGAACAGTACTTTAGTTAGAATCCGCCAAGATTTACACCTAACTGATTATAATATTTATAAAAATACCTAACATAACCTAACTTAATAATACATTAAGCAATTTCCTTCGACAAAAGTAGTTTTGATTGTAATGTCAGTCAATTTATAGAGGGCTTCCAGACAACAGTCAATTCGAGTTACAGGTATGTTATCTTGGCCTACTCAAGATATTGCTTTCTTAACATTGCCGTCCCATTTTATCAAATATTTTTCGTTCAATATTGAACTCTCAATTTTCCCAACTAATTCATAAAATGCTGGTTTGACGACAACAGGTCAAAGGTTTGTCATGTATCAGATGATTTGAATTAAAGTTATAGTCAACCAAATATGGGTGTTTATTCCGTTAGTTAAAAATGCTTGTGATTGGTTACAACCGCGTCATAAAATAGTTGACTACAAATTAGAAGCAACATATTCTCTTAAGTGCATTGTATGCGTACTTATTTACCAATTCATAATGCTCTATAATACCAAGATTCGCGTAATTTTCAACAGGTGTCATGCTAACAATTTCGCCGTAATCATTTATAAAGTAAGCTTTGTTTAGAATATCAGGAAGTTTGGGTTACAGAATAGACAATAGAGAAACATTATTTATACAGAGTACAAAGTAAACAATACAGGTTTGCTTGAAGCCATTCCTAGTGTGTCCGTTGCTTAAGCAAGTTTAAATTTATCTACCTTGATAATAATGTCGTTGAAAAAACACATTTTAGGTAAGTAATTTCTTTTAAAGCTGCACATGCACTATTTTTTTTTGGCGTTATTTAATGTTTTATATGAACAAGACAGCATTAAACATTAAACATCTGTCTCACAACATAGTATTTCACAAACAAATTTTCTATCGTAAATCATGAGTATTCATCTGGTTCTAGTAACATAAAAAGTATCTGGTGACACTCTGTCCTTCTTTTATCAGAATAGTTTATGTAACAATTACCAATTTATCTCTACGGAATTCTATAAAATGAATGCACAAGTATTGCTGACGTAGTTGCAATTCAAGCTCCAACCCCACCACCTTTCGTGCTTATGTAATACTTGAACAATACCTAAACACTTCTGAGCTCTCTAATAAAAAAGGCTCTCCAAAAGATAAATTGAATGCGATATCAATAAAACATTTACATAAGTACCTCAATCATGTTAAATGTAACATTACAGATATGTGACGCCGGCTAACTAAACACCCTTGACAAAGTTTCGTTCTGAAATGATGTTTGGAGAGCCTGTTGATCTACTAGTTGAGCCCGATCTCTTAGATGAGACAAACTGAGTAAAACTGTAACATATGTGGATGTTACAGTTTTAGCACCAAATGTATGGTTACACAGAAAACTCACTTATAATATTCTTGTCAATGAAATTAAATTGTGTAAGATACGGATTCATGTCATTAGTAATATAAAAAAAAACAATTATCAAACAGAGAAAAAAAACATTCTTCACTAACATAAATATACATATATGTTTCAGTCGGTCTGTTTAGCTGTATTCTCGTAATGGGTGCCGCCCACGGGCCCCCCAAGGACCGTGATAATGAAGACGTCGCTATGGGCCGAAAGGTAAAAGCAATTTAAATAAATTTTGTACTTGTTAGGTATATTAAATTTAAAATGTTCACAGGCTTCTGCAAATCCTTGACGCCCACATTTTATAATATTTTTATTCATCGTGTTATAAACAGTAATGCTGAACAAAAGTGTGCTTTTGAATTTGTGGGCTGAATTATTTTTATTCAATATTAGTCAGGTAGGATTTCTCCTGGAATCAAAGCCGTTTGGCTATCATTCCAGTAATGTTTCTTTTCTACTTTAATTATCTAACCTATACATATAATTAATGCTAAACGTGGGCGTTTAATACGCTTTTGTATACCGCTTAGGGCATAAAAGTCATGAGTGTATGTATGTATGTTTGTTACCTAACATCTAAGACTAGTAAGAACGATGAGCCCATTAGCAGACTCGTCAGAGCCTGATCGGAGTAAATGTGTTATAATTTGTTAGTTCTATTAAAATGGAATGCAAGCGAAATGTAATGGTTCGATTTAGATTCTGTTCTCTGATCTGCTTAGCATTATTTGCTTTATAAAACATCTGATCTATTCCTTTCCAAATTTCAATGATATCTATTTTCTATCGAGTCGGGCTGCCGGCGAAGATTCGATGACACGAGCGATTTCGGCGCGCGGAAGCAGGTAAGCATCTATAATTCCTGTTTACTTCAGTTTTTTCCACTCTACGTTTTAGAACTAATATTCCACTGCTTCAAAGTTTTAAAGAAAAGCATTACCTAAAATGCTGGTTTAAGAGAATTATAATCTCAAAACTTATGTGTTAATAGTTTTGAACCTAATTCTACTTTTTTTCATTATATATTTGTTCCAATTCTAAATCAGATGGGAGCCAAATGGTGCAGCATGGCAAAAGTCTGCAACCACGACCGTGTACCAATCTGCGGGTTGTCACACGCCGGAGATATTATAGGCTTTAGAGACCTGTGTGACATGTTCGACTATAACTGTATTAGAAGAAGAAGTAAGTATTACTTGTGGCCCAAAGTTAAATAAAATAAAAAATATAATAAACAATTATGTATGATATTTATATCTAATCTAATGCCACCCGTCATAGGTTTAATATAGCGTAATTGCTAAGTATACAACGTGAGCTGCTTCCGAACAATCAATTCGATATGTCACTGTAACATAGGTATCCATGAGAACAGTGATAGTAGGCGTCGCCGTCGTCAGCTGGCGGGCTTTAATTAAAAGTAGAACACAAAATGTGGACAGATCGAGCGTCATTCAGTCATATGATTGGCCATCGATTAAGTACTACACACTGACGTCAGATACTAATGATGTTTGTATTGGTAGGAACTTTTTATGTCAAACCAGTAGGTAAATTATAAAAGAGGTTACCCAGACCTATCATATTTATCACTTTCGGTTTCTATGCAAACTATTTCATATGGATGTATCGCCTAACCAAAATAAATAGTATATATTTAAAATAAAATTTACTATTTAGACCTATTTATATCTAGGTAAGTACGAGTGCGAAATTGTAAGAACTATATCATTTAAATTGCTTGCACTAAGCTTCCACTTGATATATGTACATTATAAATAGTTGCATTTTCTGTGCAAAAATAAAAAAAAAGAATCCTGACACCGTTATTATTCTTTAAAAAACCCTACACGTAAACTGAAATGCCACCAAATGGGGTTCGAACCCACATCCACTTAATCGCAAATGTGACGTCTGAGAACGTAATTAATGGACAGCCTTTAGTAGTCCACTGCTGGACATAGGCCTCTCTATAGAAAGAAGGTTTTGGCCTACTATAACACGCTGGTCAGACGAGTTAGTATATGGTTTGTTTCAAGTTTTCCTTCTCTTTACATTGCTGTTATCCTGCGTAGTTTGCTCCCTTGGTCGGCTCTCGCAACGCCCACGGGATTAAAAAGGGTATTCTTAAATCCGCCACCACACCACACCTGGTTAATGATAATCAGAGATCAATATAATTGATATGAAATATACATAAACAGTTTGAAATGTAATGTTTCGTCAGATACAATATCAGTATCAAAAATCAGGACTCAATTCTGATGATGCTTAATTATCGAAATATATATTAATGCGAATATATTAATGCGAAGAAAAACTAAAATTTGACCTTTTTCCAAAACTTTTTCAGTAAGACCAATAAAAAAGATTATTTCGAGATAATTTAAATAATTTAAATTATTTTTTCAGATTACAAGCAGACATCGTGCCCGGATGATAAAACTTTGTTAACTGTATCGCGCAGACCCACCTCCAGTTATTTCGATGACTGAAAACACTAAATAGTCCAAAAATTTTTTTATATAAATGGACCAATTTATTTATATCAATGTTTAAATCGTTTAATCTTTTAAATAAATATGTATAACTATGGTACTAGTTTTCTTTTCGTTTTAACGATTTGAGCAAATCCCTTAATCCTATAAGCTTTATCCCCTGGCAAAAATCTATTTAATCCCTGTATTACATTTATCAAGGAACTCTTAATATAGTCAGTCGAAACGGATTCCTTGACATAATTCCAGCCGACAATAACTACGCTCCCAAGGCCAAAGAAAACGTATGGGGTAATAAGTTCCCTCTCCCCAATTTCATCCCCATGGCAGAAAAACTACCTCCAAGAGATAAACTCCCATCTCCAACCTTGAAGGCGCTTTATAGGCTGCGTACCCAAATTGGCAGATCTAAGGACAATCTGTCAAGGTGGGGATTTATCGACCCAAGCGCAAATAAATGCGACTGTGGCGCATCTCCACAGACCACCACACCAGATGGGCCACTTGTTAACATGCCCTGCGAGCTTAGATCCGTGTACTCTTGACGACTTGTATCAAGCAAGGCCAAAACCATGTAAAGTGTGCCATCGACACGACAAGGAAGTATTTGAGAAAATTTAATATCTAAATTACCTATCGCTACCTACGTCGTTGCCGTTCTAATGAATATTTAAATAGTCCACTTCTAATTTCAGTTCAATGTAAAATAAAAAAGTGTTAAAAATTAGTTGCGACTAATTTTAATTCAGAATATGAAATGCGTCATTATGGTTGAAACTTTATTTACTACGTTTCTTTTTTAATCATCATACATTCATTTTAATCTGGTGGTCAACAAAGAACTGTCTCTGACGCTGCGGTATAAAGTTAAAACTGTAGAACTGTGGCTGAACAAAGATAATAAAATAAAATATATCCATACTTATATTAGGAGTTAAAGTATGAAATTGACAATTATTACTGAAGTCTTTAATTAATTAATTAGTTTTTTTCTAAGATGTAACATATTTATTTAATCAAAATGTTTACATTCATTATCTATACATTACTGCATTCTAAACGGAAGCTCATATATGCCTTTACGATAGAACTCTGGGGATCTAGATTCGACAAACTGTGTGAAAGCATTTAGTACTAAGTAAGAAAAAAAAATATAACGTAGAAAATTGTACAAATCACGAAAAAATGGTAGTCAGTTGGAGCAAGGTCTGGCGAGTACGAAGTCTCTAACTGCAGCTCCTGTAGAGTGACAACGGTTTCTCTTGCAGTGTGAGGTCTTACGTTATCATGGAGCAATAATGGTGAAGATCGATACACGAGTCGGTGCTGTTTCACTGCCAGTTTCGCCGTTATTGTTCGAAGTTCGGCATCATTAATGCTGAAATTGTAAACAGTCCCGATTCTGTTGAATTAATAAGATTTGGCTTTGTCATATCAAATTCTGCAATTGCTTTACGAGTGGTTATTAAACCTAGTCTATAATTGAAAGTATAATTGAAAGTATAATTCAAAGACATCTAATGAGTAACTTAAATGTTATCTCGGATAAAAACATTCTTAACAGTCACAACCAACGTTAGTAATTTCATAATATATGACGCAAATGGAAATCTCTATTTACTTCGATTCTAGTACATAATAACATAATTGCAATTTCATGACTAAAGTAAAAAGATATTCAATCGAGTCAAGCCGCGGGCAAAATCTTGTTCTTTGTAATAATCAATTAGATTACGGCAGGCGTATTACCGTTTTACGACTTTCAAAAGCTAATATCGCTGGTATACTTTGTACGATTTCTATCAATTTGCTTTGATGTTTCCTTCATCTTTTGACTAAATTGTAAGAGAGTTTTTTCTAATAAGATTCTGAAAAGATGTTACAGCTAAATTTATTTTATATTGAAAAAGTGACACTTTGTGGACATTATCGTTACTTTTATGGTTTTTTGTCAGAATAATAGAAAATATTATCAGCTTTATTGTTACTTCTTAGAACATTGGCAAAGACAGTTTTTGGAACATCGTCACCATCTTTCCAGCTCAGGTTTTACATATATCCTTAGGTATTTCAAAACAACTTTGTTCTTCTTCTTCTCTATTGTGTCGCTCTTGGCAGAGCGGTCGTGGTCACATTGAGACGTCCACGCCGGCGGCAGAGGCGGACACAGCTGTTGGTAGACTGTCGGATAGAGTCAGACAGGCGGCCTCCCACTGCGGATCTCACCTGGTCGGTCCAGCGCATAGGTGCAAAGTTATTTACTATCATTATAAGTTTGCATGTTTTAGTATAGTCAATTTAAATCAAATTTTAAAAATATCTTACTTATCAACTTATAAAAAAAAAATTTTTTTTATTCTGAAACCAATATAAAAACTAGGGCTTTACTTATCGTAATGTAGGTTTTGTCAGGTGTCATTTGTGGTATCCGAATTGTCAAAATTTACATTGGACATAGTAATATTTTCTTAATGACCTTTCTTCCTTTTTTACGTGTTACTGTAAAAGCCCGAACTATGGTAAATCCTAAGCTTTTATAGTAAAATAAATTTTACAATTATTACAAAACTATAATTGTTTTCATGCTAAAAGACCACTTTTCTTTCCTTAGAAAAATTGTATTGACCTAGTGCATGCATGCATTCGTGTCCTCCGACGTGGGATACATGTCTACTTTTCTTTTTAAAATTTGAATTACACACATATTTACACATTAAACAGGTTCCAATATAATGTTAGTAGTTGCGTTTTTAATGGTAATGTAAATGCGAAATCTGTCATTTGTTGTAGGTACATATTTTTTTTTATAAAGAAGCCACCTATGTAGCACCTAGGCGGCAGCGGGGAAAGCTCGAAGTAAGAATTTATTGATTAAGAAGGAAAAAATAAATCTCAAAATTAAAATTAATGAAACGCAGGTAAGTAACTATGTGTGAACACTGAACATAAACACTCACAAGTAACATAGGAGTTGTTTAGATTTAAGAACAATTTGTCATTAGCTTGACTTAACCTAGACAAACATCCCACTATTGTTTCAACCTGCCGCACTTTATACGATCCTGGTAATATGTTGACAGTAGACGTTTGGTACAACCGCTCAGTGTTTAGTAAAGATGACAATGTTTATAATTAAAGGAGTAATGTTATTAGTATTGCAAGCAGTAATAGTGATTCGTTGTCATATTATTTATGATAAAGCCCAACTCGTAAGTGAACACGGAACTTAAGTGGCAAAAAAAATGGGTCAGACAATGGGTAGGACCGAACTATGATGCTGCGTAAGTGGTTGAAATGTACTAGCGCCAAACGCCGACTTGGCTGTGTAATATTTCTATGTTAACTGTAAAGTACTACCGATTCTCATCGTGTTGCCGTCTCGTCAAGCCCATTGTCTGTCCCAACTTTTGAACGTGGATTTTCTTTGGAATGTATTATATAATGTACAATTAATATGCTGTTAACCAATTGTTTTCTTTGTTTATAGACTTTTTTCATTACGTACATTTTACTTCACCATAAAATGTATGTAATTATTTCTCCTAACAACTGTTTTCGAAGTAACTGTTTCACACATAATGCACAATTCTTATTTAATAATCTCCCAAAATATTACTCTACGCTTCATATCCTAGGAGAGTTTTAGTAGAATGGCGGCATTAGGAGTCTATTACGGCATAATGTTTTTCTAGTCGGTTCATCTCCGGCAAAGGTGGCACCTTATCGTTAACAATTTGTTTTTAGGTGAGACAAGTAAATAGGTTTTCAAATGTTTACGAGTAAAAAAGATCACTATTGTAGATCCCTATAATGAATAGTCAATTCATATTTGTATTTATTTTCACCCGTAGTTTGCAATTATGGTATAATTCAGCCAAACATAATTTCCAAATGATTTAAGAAAGTCTCATTTCAATTTTCTTTTCTTTAATCATTGACTTTTGCAACTCGCTAGAAACTTTTAAAGTATCAAGGGTTAAACTTATTTTTATAGGGCTTCTTTGTAACTAACTTTGTTTTGCTTTATATGACGAAATTTGTAAACGAAACAAGAAGTAGGTACAACCAAAGTCTTATAAAAGCCAATAATATTAAAATTTGATGTTTTAATATTTGTCAGTACATAATGGTAAATACCAATTATATACAAACCCACACACATATTTGAACTTTCAATACAATGTCTTGCAGACGGAACTAAAGAAACTATGTGAGCATGCCTACAGCTGTTTACACGACACTATCATCGCATGTGGTAAGTCTGTACAAGAGGCGAGGACGTTCCTGGATTTATGTGATTTGTACGAATTTTCCTGCGAGTATAATATGGGTAAGTGTTTTAATGAACACAAGTGCATACATATGTGTCTAATCAAAACACGTCTTAAATTATGTATGAATACCTTAAATGTCAATATAGCCCTTAACATCAATATCTAAATTCGCTTTGTCACGGTTGATTAATCACCCAAACCAACCAACTAAATGAAAAACCAACCTTAATACCTAATGTAGAAAGGTCTCTATAACCGTTTCGCAAAACTTACAATCACTAGAATGTTCCATCGTTGAGCACGTTCCTTGTTGTTTGACCAAAGTGCAGGCAGCAAATACAGAAGTTGTTTCTTTTTCTTCATTATTGCTTTAGTAAGAATAGATTTACTATTTTGATAATAGAAATAATGGTATTTATAACGATACAGGTCTATTTTATAACGATATAAAATCTTATTAAATACATCAATTACACATATATTGCACATAGATCAAATACGCCTTTGCCACAACATCCGTTGTGGTATCACATCACACATCAACAGCCTTTAATAGTCCTCTGCTGGACATAGGCCTCTCCTTAGAAAGGAGGTTTTGGCCTATTATACCACGCTGACCAGACGGGTTGGTATAGGGCTTGTGTCGGTTCCACGACGGCTCATTCCCCGCCCTTGTCGCTAAGAGACAAGGGCACTGGATATGTTGCCGTCGAGTGGGGGGGA